ATGGAGGGGCCCCAAGCTCCCTGCTTGCAAAGGCGCCAGCTTTGCCTCATTATGGTTTCTCAACTGTTGACTGGGGCGTCCTAGTGCACCGAGGGTGAGGGTGCTGCGTACATTTTGGCGTTGGCCGCGAGAGGTTCTCAAATATGGAGGGACGTGCGCTCGTTGAGCGGCGTGGTGTGTGCATACCATTCCAAATTTAGGAAATCTCATGATTCTCGTGCCGACTTCGGCAATGCCTGATTCAGGCACAGCTGGGTCTCCCTAGCTCTGGGCAATGGTACAAGACGACGGACCTTCGATGGGCACCAGAGCATTGTTCATGGCCCAGGCCAGGGACCACTGGCTCAGCGGAGTGCTACCTCGGGTGTACCGGGTGAGTGTACCTCGGGCGCTGGTGTCTGTCTATCGTTTACCTAGCAGTTTTTTGAATCAACTTGCCGTTTCGGACCTTTGCTGTTGGATTTGAATATCCAATTTTGCCGGAAAGCCTTTGGCCGTGCTGAGACGGTGGGACATTTGACTCTTTACGCATTGCGGCTTTTGGTTTCACTGCGCCGTTTATTCACAACACTAGGTAGCATTTGACGTCTTTGACGCCCGGAGCTTTTACCGCCTGGAGATGGTAAAATTCCTCATCCTTGAGTCCTACCTTCCAGGATCCGTAGGCCATCAGGCATGTTTTTCGGCCCCAGCAGAGCAGCACTAACGTGGCGTGCTGCGCCTCATGCGTAGCATCACTGATTGGCAGTCGTGATGGTCCGCTGGTGCCACGCTAATGTCGACATTGTGCAGTGAATACCACACAGACGACCACTCCCGCGGGATGTGTCCGGAACTGTAACCCCCCCCCCCCCCCTCCCCACTCTCTCATGTGCTCTGACCCCCCCCCCCCCAAGCGGTCAGAGCACATGAGCCGCCAGGTGAAATCGCTAGCAGGATGTGATACCAGCGGAATCTGGTCAAAATTCTAGTTATTTTTGCAACCGACGTACGTTCGTAGCATTCGTATCTAATTGAGGAGTTTCGTATCAGGCATGTTATTGATAGGTTCATTACATCACTCGTTAAGTGCGTTTTATGAGCCATAGCGCCCGGAGAGTGATTGTGTTTGAAAACAGCTCAAATAGTTGGTACGAAAAACACAAAGGCCACAACGTGAGCGAATACTTTGCCTAGCACTCAAGTCATACCGGGCGGCTGTTGACACCACGTGCACTCAGTCGTCTTCCTTTGCACATATCTGTTGTGATTTGTAAGCCCGCACCGGTAATTTACCTCGGCTTCACCGCGATGGCCTGCTCCAAGGATGAGAATCGTCCTGTGTTGTCTGCACGCAGCGCGGTGCTCTCTTACGTCATTGATTTATTTTTGTCAATCATGCGGCAGGCACCCATTCACACGCTCACAGTACCGAAAAGCTTATGTTCATGACGCATTTTTGTTACATGATATTCACATGGGAGACCGTGTTTTACATAATCACAACACGACGCGGGCGTGATGATGTGCTCGTTCGATGCATTGTAGGCTATTCACAACGGCCAGAGCACAAAAGGAAGTACGATATTCACCGTCTGGCGCAAATTCAGTCGAGTTCATTTACTGGTCAAAGGTCATAATCAATTACGAACTAAAAACAGACGTAAAATGTTCACGCCCCCGGCGTCAACACCTCCTCATTCTCGATATGTCAGCCGGAGGAAGGAGGCCGGCCCCCGGGTGTCCAAGTTAGCATCGGGACACAATCCAGGCTGACATCTGGACACGCATCGAACCCACGTCGGACAAGTCTCAAGTTCGTGTCGTGAGCACGCAACAATTCCGTATTTAGGCGCAGCGTGTCTGCGTTTGATCGCGTCGTCAGCTCGCACCGCGAAGACGTCGCCGTTCGTCGCGTGCTGAAGCCTGGCGGACGGCCCCCGACGGGGCAGGGAAGCCGACCCATTGAGCAACTCCGGGGGAGCGGACGGCCCCCGGCACGGTCCGGGCGACTCGCGCGGTAGCCCGCCGCAAGAGTGCCTAGCTCACCGTCCCGACGGTCCCGCGCGGCGAGTGAGCCGCCGCCGTCCTCTAATACTCGCTCTCAATTAGTCACGCCACAATAGCCGAGCGCACTGGACCGTGACGAAAGCCCCGGAGGAGGACAGGGCCGTCACGCAGGCAGAGCCGTGCCTCGCGCTCACGCCGGCGCCGTCCCTTCCGCCAACCCCGCGCCGGGAGAGCGAGCGGCGGTCGCCTGCCGAGGCGTGGTCCGCGGACCGCCCGCGGTGCGGCGGGACGCTCGCCGGTCCGGCCAACGCCGCTCTGTAGACCGCAGCTTCCGACGCGCCGAACCTCCCCTCCCCTCCCCCACCCCCTAGCTAACGCCGTCAGCGACCCGGCTCGGGCGGGCCGGCTCACTGCTGCTTGCTATAGTCCACGTAGACTCGCACCACCTCGCCCGAGTACTTGCGCTGGCTGGGCATGAAGTAGAAGTCGGGCGCGGCGGCGCCGGGCGCGCGCCGCTCGCCGCACGGCTGGTAGCTGGCCGCCGAGAACTGGCTGGCCGGCCGCGGCAGGCTGTAGCTGGAGCGCGGCGCGCCGCCGGCCGGGCCCGAGCGCGGCCGCTGCAGCGAGCGCGTCTCGACCATCTGCGGCGGCGGCGGCGGCGGCGCCGGCTGGCCCGGCGGCGGGCCGCGGCTCTTGCTCGGCCGGCCAGTCGTCCGCCGTGTCCGGCTCGAAGCTCTCGTAGCCGTAGTTGTTGTGCGCGGCCATGTCGCGCCAGGCCGAGCTGGTGATCAGGCGGTCCTGCGGCGCAGCGGGGCGGGTTAGAGAGGGCGCTACCGTTGCCTGGACTCGACAGGTAGAGAAGAGCGGCACGAGAGGCATCAGAGAGGTGCACAGACGGTCACCGATACACAAGACGAGCTGGAGAGGACACCGCCGACGGACACCGATACGCAAGACGGGCTACAGAGGATACCATCTGGCTGTCGGCTGCTGCATATCTGGCAAGCTCACTAGATGAGCAGCAGCCGGCAGAAGTCAAAAGGGCACCCCTGGTAGCGGATCTGGACCCACGCACACGAGCAAGCCGGTGGCGGAATCACGAAGGTGTCACTCGTATCATCTGGCAGAACTCACGCAAGGCAAAAATGCCGACAGGGGCGGGTTCGGTGAGGATATCGCCATCAAGGCGGCAGTACACACTCCCAAAAACGGACTGGAAACAAACAGAATTCCAGCCTTCGACAGCGTTGATACGTAGCCTGAACGACAGAAGGCACGAGGAAGCTCCATAAGCCTGTTCTCAGTGCAGTCGCCTAGCTTGTGCCGTGACGTGCTTTCAGTCTTTACGGATAACACGATCCTCTGGGTCGATCCTCACCTCTGGTGCAGCTAACTGCATGCTTATCTATGCCCACTAACTCTACCCGTCACCCAGCGTGTCTGCCCAACAGGCGGGCATGAAGCAGTGCGAAGATGTGCTGAAGGGAGAAGTTACTCACAGGGCATTCAGAAAAACATGTAGGACTGAGCCGATACCTAGAGAGCAAGATGCACGGCGGTGAAATGTACGTCCTCGGGTGATGAGTACGCCTGTGTCACCAAATGCAGCCAAGTGGAGACGCGACTACCAGCTCACGCACATTTTAAGCTGATTTGCATTAGAAGTGTTCTTTTTTTGTGCCAGCGCGTTTTCATACACCACGAAGAGGGCTAGATTCGAAACAAACACGGTCTCGATCTGGAAATTAATTTGAAATTGAGCGCTTCACTGCCCCTCCCCCCGTCCATAAAGCATGCGCAGTGAGTGGCAAATGAGAAGTGCGTGGAATGGTAGCTTTGCTGTCTTCACCCAGGTGGGCCAACACATGTGTTTCAAGGCGGCTTCAATTCAAGACAGGAGCGGAAGGCGGTGAGCATTGCCCGTCGGCCAGCAAACAAGACCGGCAATCACATCCAGAGAGCGCTGAGTCGAACGGAGGCACAGCTCTGAGCGACGCTGCGCTGGATCGGAGGCGCAGCTCTGAGCGGGTGCCGTGCCGAGCAAAGGCGCAGCTCTGAGCGGCGCCGCGGCGAACAGCAGGCGCTGCTCTGAGTGGCGCGTTCGCCGCAGCAGAACGTCCGCGCTGAGAGCGGACGCCGCGCTGGACGGGCGCTGCTGCGGGCCCGGCCCGGTGGACTGCTGACCTTGCCGTGCGGCTTGGCCTGTGGCGGCGAGGCGCGCCGGTTCCTGGCCAGCGTGCAGGCCGCCTGCACGATGGCCAGCAGGATGAGCGCCGGCCACGGCCGCCAGGATGATGTAGATCTTGATCAGCTCGCTGTCCCACTGCTCCTGCGGGATCGGGCCGTTGGCCTCCAGGCTGCGCGCCTCTGCGAAGAGCGGCGGCGCGGGGCGGCGTCAACGTGCGATCCCCGTGCTCCGTGACCGGCGCGGCGCCGGAGCACGGCTGGCATGCGAGGTTCGCCGGGGGCGGGGTAATCCGCCTGACCCGGCGCCAGGAACCGCACGCAGAGGGCCACACAGGCTACCGTCGGAGCCAGCGGTCACAGCGGATCTCGGGCGGCGTCAGCGGGGCTCGGGCACACGCAGTGCAACACAGGCGGCATAGTCGGCACGGAGCTCGCCTGGGCCGGCTGCAGACAGATGTTACTGCAGATGTTGGACATTGGCCGTGCGTTAACCGACTGCACACAGCGGTCACGCCCTTGCCACCTATCTCCCATTTGGGTTTGTGCCATCCACAGCTTCCTGACTCATGCAGTATCCAAAGACATGGTGTATGTCCATAATTATTACGACGCAAACCTTCATTCAAAAATATAATCTTAACGCGTATTATCTAAGTTTGGTTTTACAAAAGAAACCAACCCGAACCCTTGTTACCGTTTAAGTACAAAGAAACCAACATAAAACGCTACTTGCCATAAGCTCAATAACACTATTGCATCACGGATGTACGTGGGAGGCATGCCCGCACCAGGCCAGAGGCGCGTCTGCTCACCTTTCCGGGTTGCACCACCAGGTACTGTGGGTTGACCTGCAGGTTGCCCACCATGCCGGTGGGCACCGACTCGGTGAGCACGGTCTCCACGGTTCGCGGCTTCTCCTCGCCGCCCTCCACGCGCTTCAGCTCCTTAGCCATCCGCTTACGGTCCAACCTGGACGCTCATGTGTGCCACCACGTTCCCGGAATCGCTAGTGAGCGAGGGGGGGGGGGGAGTTACAGCGGGGCGGTAGGCACGGCATACGATGCGGCACTGCAACAGGACATGAGGACAAGCACACGACACGGCACTGCAACAGGGCATGAGGACACAGCGCCGCTGGCGACGGCCGGTCACACGGGGCGCAGGCGTATTTCAAAAGGTCGGCCTGTGTGTGTGGATTGAGGGTGGGGGCACCACTACGGAGGCACAATCTACGTATTGGTGAGTTGGAAATGCGTTTACAATAACCGGGCAACAAGGTACTTTCGTCCTGTGATTTGGCGCCTCAAAGAAGCTGCTCTTAGACGTCAAAACACTTTTAAACTTAAATATACGGGACTCGTATGCATTACAACCATGACAGACGTGGAGTAGAGCTAGGAACTGCACGCTTCGCATTATAGACGGGCAGGGGCACTGTCACAGAGCTCGTAACACCCCAGCAGCGTCGGGCACGCGTCACTGCCCGAGTAACCGCAGGACCTGGGAGGCGCCTGTCCACGCGCCTCGCTCCTCGACCCGGGCGAGCCCGCCCACATCCCCACTCACTCCTCGAAACCGCCCGACCCCGGCCCCACTGATTCAGCCCATTGACTCCCCCAGCCGGGCGAACCCCAGCCGGAAGACCACTCACTCCTGGAACTGCGTGACGCGGATTCTCTTCAGGCCGGGCACCGTCTCCAGCAGGGACATGACGTCACGCCGGATCCGCTCGCTCAGCACCTCGAACTCCTCGGACTCGGGCGTCGGCAGCATGTACGTGTCGCCGAGGCCGCGCAGCTTCAGCTCCACGTCGTACTCAACGTTGGGCGGCGGCGGCGGCGGCAGTGGCTTGCCGTCCTTGTCCAGCAGCGGCTCGAGGCTGGCTGAGGGGGCGACGGCGGGTCAGCGTCCGGCGGTCAGGAGCGGCAGACGGCGCCACCGGACCAGCGACCAGTCGCTCTCCTGGTGCCGACGCCAGTGTCGAGTACCGAAGCAAGTACCGACCCAAGTGTCGAGTACCGACGCAAGTCCCGACGCAAGTATCGACGCAAGTGTCGAGTACCAACACAAATACCGACAGACCACACTCAGACATCAGTGCATAATTTGTGCTCAGGCAGTGTTAACGCTCAAACTGTACGTCACGTAACGGAAATAGAGCAAAAAAAAAACTGACGCACACTTGCTAGTCGTCACGTAGTGAGTTCATGTGTTCCACTTTGTGTTAAATATTCCCAGAGTGGATCGAAATGTCAGATCAAGTTTCTGACAGTATGGCATTTAGTGTAAACAAAGGGCAACGTGCAAATTTATATTAAGCCTTTCCTCCACGGAACTGGCCGGGCCCTCGGCATGCGTAAATCGTGAGGGACTACCTCAGACGCACCAATTAAACTGAACGATATACGGAGACGAACTCAACGATGAGCAGTGACGTCAACACAGCCACCATGGTATCATGTACTACATGCACCCAATAATACCGAACCTTCTGGGAAGATGAAGAAAAGTTCAGTAAATACATCGTCCGAGAGGTCTCACCAAAATGCAGAATATTATTAGAGCCGTTATTACGAACGTTCCCAATCATTTCAGAGATTCGGAACACTTCGGTGAATCTTTTATCCATGGGAGCTTTTGGTGCGCAGCGTGCGGTCAGGAGCAATGCGATTTCTGCGACATTAAAAATATGATGCAGTGCTTGGTTGAAAAGTATACAGGAAGCATTGGATAGAAAAACTGGTTGGTACTAACCTTGGATTATGAAGAAGCCATCCTTAGATGCCGTACATCGAACAAATCAGCACATAATTTAGATACTCTCAATCAAATCTTTATTACCATGGAAACTTTCGCTCCATTAAGCATGATACATGACACTGGACTTTGATTATTACACAATACGTGATTCCTACGACACAGACAAATATTTGTTCGCAGAGCGCCTTACTACTGTAACTAATCTGCAGGCTCTCTCCGTTACACAAGTTAGATCTGACTCCCGCCCAATGACACAGCGGTGGTCGTATCTTGTACCTACACCAGCAGAGATAAGTGGTCACGTAGACAACACATAAAGCGACAAAAGACCCGGATAGCGCCGCCCAATGGGAGTCGCTCGCGTGACAGTTTGTAAATAAAATGCGCAAAGCTGTTGCGTTTGTCCTCTAGCCTGAGCTCGACAAAATGAGGTTTAGGTATCTGCCCCCGCTCCCGCTCCCGCTCCCGCCTCCCGGGACCTGGGATCGCGGTTCGACAGATGTGGCATGCAAAAGAACGCTGCTAGTACACAAGTGGGCGAAAACCAGCTCCATGCTCCACCACCCCGATCTCCCACCACGCACAGTGCTGAAACTGAACACCGCCGGACGTGCTGGTAAATGCCAGGCGCAGCTCCTAGTCCAGCGTGGCTGGGAAAACGCTGCAGCACGACCTTAAGGGCATCAGGTGCGGACGACCGCCGAGAATAACACAGCGACATATGGCAAGCTACTAAAACTGCTAACATTACCTAAGTGGTGCACGGCACGAACAATAAACACACGTAGTGGGAAGCTCACAGCTTTTGGACGCAATTATTTCGACACATCACCCCGTTCTGGCACCTACCCGTGTCACGAGGCCGGTAGCAGGAACCGCACCTGACCACGGGAACTACAATCGCCCGAAGGTACGCCTAGCTGTTGTGGCCGGCTAGGTCATTGTAAACTCCCCACCCTCCGACGGCTTTCCTTTCCGCGATTATGCAGGCATGGGCGCGTTGCTACGTGGCATTATGATTCTGGTGTGAATTACTGAGGTCTCTATTCCTGCTGCCGTTGTGCCCTATATCGGTATAATAATCTGCTAAGCTGCTGACTGTGACAAACTTTTGTGCGAAACCGTTACAGCCGGCCGTCCCCAGGGTGGATGACCGACAGAACCCGACGCGATGAGGACGGCCCACCCCACCCGAAGGGCCCGCCTCGTAGGGCCTAGTGCGCGAACGCGAGAAGGAGGAGGGCGGCCGCACAGAGGGCGCTGGCGGCTGCGGCGGCCGGCCGCGGCGTGGCGCCACTGTCGCCCTGATGTCTGCCCAGCTGCGGCCCGACTGCAACGACACACAGAGCAGAGGCCGTCACCGCGGGCGCGCCGCCTGCCGCCGCCGGCGCGGGAGGGACAGCGCCGCCACGTGCCCAGCCCCCGACAGAGCCGGCGCCGCGTGCTGCGCAGGCGCGCAGGCGCCGGACAGGTGAGGGCCAACCCGACCCGGCCAGGCGCCCCAAGTCCAGCTCGCTACGACAGAAACACGCGAAGAGAGTCACCAGACGCCGCGGCGTGAGGAGGGTCAGGGGGTCATGCTCTCCCCCTGCGGCCGGCGGCCGTCCTCCACCGGTCAAAGGTCAGACTGAGGTCAAGAGAAGTGCCGGCTGGGTCGGCCAGCCAAAGTCGAATCACCATCACCGCCCATTGTTATCCCAGCTGCCAGCCTCGCCACCTTGCGTATGCTTCCAAAGGTCACCTGCCGTCCGGGTACGACAAACAGGCTTCTGGCCGCCCTCCAGCACACGCCGGGCAGGCTCTAGGCCATCCTCACACACCGGACATGACGAAGGGCTTAGTGTTGCGCAAACGCGTCACATAAGACCATCTCCGCTGTGCTCCCGCTGGCTACATGGGAAAGAATAGCCTGTGCCCCCTAAGGCATGAAAAATTTATGCACAGGCGAAGGAACGCCTCAACAAGGGGATGCCAAGACCAATTTTGGGAACACTTTAATGCGTCGGCATGTGTTGGTCATGTTTTAATACCGAGCCCTGCCGAGTAAATGTTCGGTATTTCCGGAAACTGGGGGTGCCATGGGACCCACTGCTCCCCCACCAGCCACAATTCCAACGCCTATAAAGTTAAGGGCCTTTGCATTTGACTCTCATTGTCATACGTACAGAACATCATTAAAATGTCAATAGGTCACAATGTTCGGCGCAGTTTCAGTGTGTTGGTTTATGTTGCGAACATGTGATACGTTCGTGCAAAACGTTCGACGAAAAAGCCCTACCGCCACGATTTCTGGAAAATATTGATTTCTGCATTAACTTTTCCATTTACGTATGTACAATCATATCTTATGTATCATCATAGATATGCGTGACGAAATATGTACACATCTGCGTGTATGCTGTGTAATATTGCTCGAAAAAGGCATGTACGAATATATTTGATTCTATCGAACGTGCCAAGCACTAAGCGTCAGCTTTGGGCTTCCAATAAAAATGCCACAGAAGATTTGTTGCATAGACGAAAACAGTGCCTCGGTAACTGGAAGCATCCATTCCACAAAATAATTTTCCGGGCGTTTTTATGCTCCCGGGTAGATCACTAGGCAACAGTAAGATCCCTGTTCCACGTAACGATGCATTAATTGCAGCGCAGACGCCGCTCGGCTCCTCTTCGCCTGTGACGTCACCTTTTCCCACGAGAAAGCCGCCAGGTGATGGATCGTGCGGCTAGGTCATGAAGAGGGCATGACCTCCATGAACTAAGGTCACGTCACGTTGGTCGTGGACGGCGCCGGCCGCAGGAGAGAGATGGACGACAGAGAGATAGAAACAATGGGAACAGTGCAACTGACAGACAAATGTCGAAGACGGCCTGTCGGGCCTCCGCAATGGTACTCACCACACGACTTGATGCAGATCTTCTCGGAGGAAACGATCGGCGTCTGCTTGTGTTTCGCGAATCGCTTCGAAGAGCGCAAGAAGTTGCCGCCCTTGATCGGGAAGAGCATGTAGAGGCACTGGTCGTCCGTGAAGGACACGTCCTGGAGAGGGACGGGGCATGAGACAGAGTGGGGTCACGTGGTGCCCCATGGATGCTCAGCTGGGGATCGGTCCCACCTGTTTTTTTTTTGTCTAAGGAAAGAAACACAAACAAGGGCGCTTTCAGACAGCACACCCAAACCGGCCTGAGAGCACTGGCTGAGCGTGGCTCGCCATCCACTCATCAGAGAGAGCGATTATCGAACAACGCTGACGATTTTCCCGCGCCGCCTCCCCGGCACACCTTGCGTGTCGCGTCCCACGCCCTCGCATCACGCCGGCGGCCGCTCACCTTGGCGTCAGTGGTCCGGCGCGGCCGGATGAACGAGAACTCCTGGCGTCCGTCACGCAGCGAGCCCGTCTTGTTGAAGATGTCCTGGCGCGAGTCGGTGATGGGCGGCAGGTGGCCCGAGAGCCAACCGTCGAGCACGATCGGCCGGCCGGAGCCGGCCACGAAGCCCAGCACCACGTCGCTGGACGGCATGTTGGGCGTGCGCGAGAAGCCGACCCCCGTCCAGTGCTCGTCCGAGTCGCTCTGCACGGTGAAGCGCACCTCGTCGCTCGCCTCCAGCAGCTCCCAGCGCACGGCGTACTCGCAGTCGGCCGTGTCCATGCTGCAGCTCGGCGGCCAGCGCCACTCGGCGCCGCAGAAATCGTAGGCACGCGGCGACAGTTCCTGCGTGCTGCCGCCCTCCAGGAAGTCGATGGACGCCACGCCGCGCTGCTGCCCGCTGCCGTGGTACTTGACCTCGTCCGGCCGGTAGAAGTTGGGCACGGACGAGCTGCCCGCCTCCAGGCCCGACTTGGGCCGGTGCATGTAGTCGCCCGACTGCTGGCCGCGAGCCCAGATGACGTGCATCAGGTCCTTCTCGATGGCGTGGTCGGTCGGCTCGGACGCTGTGGCGAGGGGGCGGTGCTGGTCAGAAGGCGTTCGGCTGGCCGGTGTGAAACGGGCGAGTCACACGCCCACAGGACCAGTATTTGCGCGCTCGGGCCGGTCGATGACGGTGCAAAGTCGGCACCATGACGCACGGCACATCACGCAGAAAGCCGCAAGATGCCATTCACTGTCGAGGTGCTTTAGCAGACTGTGTCCCAAGGATAGTCTAGACAGAGCGAGCGAGCGAGCCTGCCAGAACTCAGCTTGTCGAACCTGTCCGAACGACCCTTATGTCTCGGCAAACAAATGCACAGGCCACACTCAGGTAAAGCGCGCTACCTCCGCCAGCCAAGGCTACCGGGACGCGGCGATCGCGCTCCAGCCGATCCGGCGCCCGCCCTTACCGTCCAGCTTGCGGCGGAACGCGACGGTGGTGATGCCGTCCTCCTCGTAGGCCATGCTGCCGGTGAGGCTGCCGCTGCCGCCCCAGAACTCGTCGCGCCGCGGCGTGGAGCGGTCGCGCGTGTAGTAGTCGTCGACGCGGCCAAAGTTGCCCCGCGCGCGCCCCAGCACGATGTCCGTGCAGTCCATGGCGTGGAAGTCACCGCCTGGGTAATAGCCCACGCGAGGGAGGTTGACCTGCTTGGCTGGAGCGGAGAGCGGGGATGTCAGCGTCCTCGGGAGCGGCGGCCAGGTAGCATACAGCTCCACAGTTTCGGGCGTTGAAGGGGCTTCCGAAAGGGGCAGGACTGTCTTTAGACCTCCAGTTGCATGATCAGATCTCGAAAACGAAGCGGAACGAAACAAAAAAAAAACACAAACTCGCCGCGACCATGGTCGATCTTTGTTCAGGTTATTACTTAGCGCCAAATACAAGGCAGTTATAAAAACTGTGGACGTGGTCGACTTAAAGGGTTAAGTATATTCCATCAGTTTGCACAGAGGAATTGCCATCCTACTGCATGTACACTTTTGGAACAGGAAATATCGCCGGGGTACGTCCGGGAAGATTAATGCAATGCTCAGAAACGGGTGTAATGAAACAATACGAAACGATTACAGTGTGAGTTACTTGGAATCACTTCACGTTTAACTGTCAATGTGCTTACGTTTTCTGTCTGATTTGGACGGTTCGGGTTCACTCTTGGGTTCAGGCTCGCTGTTTGGCTCGGGCTCGCTATTTGGCTCGGGTTCACTGCTTGGCTCGGGTTCACTGCTTGGCTCGGGTTCGCTGCTGGGCTCAGGCTCGCTGTTGGGCTCTGGTTCGCTGCTGGGCTCAGGCTCGCTGCTGGGCTCGGGCTCGCTGCTGGGCTCAGGCTCGCTGTTGGGCTCTGGCTCGCTGCTGGGCTCAGGTTCGCTGCTGGGCTCGGGCTCGCTCGTCGGGTTTGGTTCACCATGGGTCTGACGCTTCTGTCGAGTAATCACCTCTGATTGCCCTGAAAGTGCGTGGCTTATGTTACTTCTCCCAGGAATTAGTCAAACACAAGCGATGTGCCGTGATCAAATGAACCAGGTGAGTTAAAAGCTACACGCTCATTAAGACAAGTTTTAAACACACAGCCATGCTCGCAGCAATACAGATTTCAATGGAATGTAAATAATCGTAACAAAACGCACTCAGCCCAAAACCAACTACCTTACCATAGACTAGTTTAAATATGCGAGAACTTTGTGTTATTTTGGTGAGTCATGCTTGGCGGGATGTCAAAAGGGTGCTTAGGTAGATTCAGGCTGGATTACGTACTTTTACAAAGTGTGCTTCATCAAAGCCAGCCCAACGAGAATTTGCAGTAACGGGCTTTTGCTGGCAGCTGACTTCAGATGATGAACGCGTAACTAATGGATGCGAGAGATCGCAGCTAGTTATGAATCTAACTGAGCATTGCACAGATGGTCGAGGCTTCATTCACTTCACTGCCACCGGCAACTATAATTTCGCGCCTCATGCTTTTAATGTCGTTGTGAATTTGGCCAGTTAACTGTTCTGTCGCCGCGTCAGCAGTCTCTCCTGCAGGCGGAGGTGCCGACCCGGCGTCAGTGGGATCTGGCCGCGGCCGCTGGTGGCAGCGTCTACCGGCGCCAGGAGTCGGCCGGCTCCCGGCCGGGCACGCTGTCACCACGCTCGGCCGTGACCAGCCACAGACGTCAGAGGGCAAGCCGTATGTACAAAACCCCTGCACATACCTGTCGCCGACTACAGAGCGCGGACGTGCAGTGAGAGGGGCCTCTGGGTTAGGCTACGAGAACCGGTCCAGCTGGAGAGGGTCTGAGAGCAGCCGCAGGGAGGACAGCGAGCCGTGTCCTCCCGGCCGTCGCCGACGCCGCCGGCACCGGCCGACGCCTCCTCCGGGTCTGTGGTGCTACCGCAGCCTTCCATAGTCGGGTGAGTGGCCGCAGGCAATCGTCGGTCGACGCATGCTCCGACAGGGGCCGGTCACTTACCGTCGGTGCGCAGTCGCAGCTGATCGGCGGCGGCGGCGCGGGCGGCCGGCGGCGTGCCGCGCGTCCTCCACGCCTTGCGCTGGCTCCGGAACCCACCGGACCTGAACTTATCCATCCGTGAATTACCTGACGACGCCTCCTGCTTCACGTCTTCGGCCTGAGGCTCGGGTTCGGCCGTGGGCTCACTCGCGGGCTCCGGTTTGCTCTTGGACTCCGGCCCAGTGTGGTGGTCGTGCTCGCCCGTAGGCTCGGGCTCACTGCTGGGCTCGGGTTCGCTGCTGGGTCGGGTTCGCTGCTGGGTCGGGTCGCTGCTGGCTCGGGCTCGCTACTCGGCTCGGGCTCGCTACTCGGCTCGGGCTCGCTGCTCGGCTCGGGCTCGCTGCTCGGCTCGGGCTCAGGTTCGCTGCTGGGCTCGGGCTCGCCGCTCGGCTCGGGCTCAGGCTCGCTGCCGGGCTCAGGTTCGGGCTCGGGCTCACTGCTGGGGGCTCGGGCTCGCTGCTGGGCTCAGCCGCGGACTGCCCGTAGGAGCCGCTGTTGCGCGCCGACGCCGTCCCCGTCTCCTCGATGGCCGGGAACCGCTTGCACGAGGCGTCCAGGCTGCCGGGCCGCCAGCCGACGGCGGCGTAGCTGACGCCGCGCACCTGCATCACCATCTCGATCTCTGAGACTTCGGGCAGCACGCGCCAGTACAACGTGTACTCGGGACATCTCCCGCTTCTGGTACAGGCCGAAGTTGGTGATCTTCTTGCGCATGCCCGCCGCTGGAAACAAGCCGGCGTGAGAACGGTTCGTGACGGGGGAGGCGGAGGGGGGGGGAGGGGGGCACCGACTGACGTCAACGGTACAGGTCGGCGTAGCGGAAAGACCAGCCAAAACAGTCCGGATCGTGTACCCACCCAGATTACTGGCAGGGCCGGACTGTGCACTCACCGGGTCACTAGCAGTCCGGACCGTGCGCCCACCCAGATCACTGGCAGGGCCGGACCGTGCAGTCACCCGGGTCATTAGCAGTCCGGACCGTGCGCCCACCCAGGTCACTGGCAGGGCCGGACCGTGCGCCCACCCAGGTCACTGGCAGGGCTGCTCTCATCCACGCTCTCAGCTCGAACAGACCGACTGGTACACAATATGTCTAGGCCAAAAGCAGCTGGAACATGGAGCCCCAGGAACCAAAAATAAAATGCATAGATTTACGATGAACGATTGAAATGAAGAGAAATATTTAGGGACGGAGGGCCATGGCCATACCAAAACATAAAAAAGCAAAACAAAAGAAAACAAAAACGAAGAAGCGCGGTCAATCGCATAATCCAAACAAAAGACGCTGCGCAGAGAGCAACTGGCCAACGGAGGACATCAGCTGATGTCAATAAGCATTGTCTTACGGTTCCTCTGAGCGCAATCCTTTCCAAAGAAGCCCAGCCTGCAGAAGCACTGCTTCTTCGGGTAGGTGGTAGCAGCGAGGTCTATGCATTTGCCGTACGTCCCGCAATGTGAGTCTTGCTCACATTCATTCTGAAGCAGACATAACAGACATATTTGAGAAGCAGTAGGTGCATAGTCGATAGATATGTTGACGCAGATGCAGACGTATATCGGACGTAAGATGTGTACCATACATATCAGATCGGCATCCTAGTCATATCAAGCGCGTTATACCAGCATACCAGCTAATGAGATATACTATATGGATGCACTGCTGCCAGCGAAGGATTCCACAAACATGAAACCAGGGAGAGTTAATCATAGTCTACGTACTAGGCTGATGCAAAAACTAAATTGCACATGACCTAAAATCCTTAACATGTTATAATGTGAGCCTGCACACAAAGTGCAGCAAGTTTCTGCCGCAACCTAAAGCTACGGCCAGCACAGGTCGGAGAAACGCTTCTAGTAAAAGTAGACACATTAAAACAAACGTCGGCAGCGCGTTCCGCGCGCGCGCGCGGTCGTCAAAACACGGTTGAGATCCGGGGAGAGTGAATCCAGCAGGCAGCTCGCCGCGGCGGCGAACAATGGCGAAGAGCGCCCTCAAAAGTCGCACGCCTCAAGGCGAAACCGCTGCCCATTAACCCGCACCGAACGAGTCGGCGCGTGGCCCATAGGCGTCCGAGGCGCAAACAAACATTACGACCTCGCGCGCCGCGCTCCCAGAGAAATTGCACGATTCCGGAGGTTGCACACGAGGGCGAGAGCATCACCTGCACCGTGAACACCGTGCACGCTGCACGTAACGGTGCATTGTTGTGGCAACCGTGTGGGAGGATTCCGAGGTCTGCCCGCTAAGCCGGGCGGGAGAGGGGCTCACCGAGAATTGGCAGCGTTCGCCATAGGAGCGGCGGTCGCAGCGGCACCGGCCGAACGAGGCGCGCCCATGGCCGTTGCAGTCTCCCGATAGTCGTTCCCTGCGACGAACCCCAGCGCCGTCACACATCAGAGCTAGTTGTCGCATCAGCACCCGCAGTCAAATCAGCACCGCCAGTCACA